TATTTTTAGCAATACAAGCCAAACACACTACAGAAAATACCAATGACAATGTATATGTTTTAAAGTATTAAAACTAAAGACAAATGTGATTGAAGCTCATCGATTTGAACACAGCTGCAATCAACATATCTCAGCTACTCTGTTAAATATTATGTTCCAGAGTCTCTGCACTTTAATTATCTGTACAAGCTCAGATCAATGAACCTGAATGAGTGACAATATGAAGTTAATGTACCGGAGGATAGCGTGGACTGTCAGAGTTGGCTAATAATAACTATAGCATAGCTTGTCCCCATAGAGCTGCACATACAGGAGTTGCTACTTATGCTTTTGGTGCTCTTGGAAACATTCCTATGCCATCTTACCCATTCTAGTCTTTGGGCAGCAAAGAACAGACTACCTGTCACAGGTGGTAAGATACTAACCAGCTACCCTCACTTAGATTAATTTATTGGCTAAAGGAACGGACTGGGGAGCAGCTGCAGGCATGCAAAGGAAGCTTTTATTTGGAATCTATCTTCTTTGCATTTTAAATGTAGATCTCATGTTCTACCAGGAATCACAATGCCTCATATACGTTTTGCCTGGTACTCTGGTCTGATATTTCCAGCAGTAAAAATACACCAACACAGATCTTTTTTCAGAAGGCCTTAAGGTTTCTGCACATTTTATTTTCTTCACCCTTTAATGGCCACAGCTTGTGTACACTAGGTGCTTCTTTTCTAGCCCTGCACACCAGGAATCACATTAGGCATCAAAGCCCAATAAAGTCAATAATATAGATAAATACAAACCATTACACAAAAGTTATTGAAAGTCTGTTCTTTTTAAAGTAAATTTATCTGGTTAAAAAGTTCTGAATAGCTTTTCATTTTTCTATGCGGTTCATCTTTTTTAAAAACTGTGAAGCATGTACGTGTATTTTATGATCAGTCAGAAAAAGAAACAACCCCCCAAACCACAAAATTTGCCATCTAAACTGAGGCAGCTTTCATTTATGAACCCTATGTGGGTTGTTCCACCTTCAGATGAGAATAAAAATGTGCTTTTTAGGACAAATTTTAAGTTACTCCCTTTAAAGATATAAGAACCTCCCTGCCTCTCCTTGAGTAGCATGCCCACAATGTGAAATACATAGAGAATTTCAGATGGAAGGATTAACTTCATTTTAGAGAAACATCATCACAATTGAAACACCTCCGTTTAAAAAACAGAAGAAATCAGGTTCTTGGTGACAGACACGGAACACAGTGTATGTTGAATGTAGCTATGTCTTAGTCCATTGTTAGTAATCCCTACAAATGCAACTATAGACCCATTTATCTTTGTCACTCCTTGTCTCAAAATTCATACTACTTTAACTTCCAACGGCTGATAACTTTTAGACGTTATCACAGCACCATAAAAAAACAAAAAACATTTAGACTGAAAACTTCCGATTTTAGAGAATCCTCACCTCCTTTTCTTAGAGATTTCACTATATAGTACAATGAGAAATCTGTATTTGTATGTAAGTTTGTGAATTTAGAGCCTCTAAACAGATGACACAAAAACTGTTGATTGTCACATAAAAATGTCATCAGATTTCAAAAATAAAATCAAGATTTTTCTTGATACACTATCCGGTAAGGACATATTTAATGAAGCAATTTTACAAGAACAAACACATGTTTGAAACTTGTGACACACATTAATTTGCAATTTTGGCTAACGGTATCATTAAGTTTCCAAGTTAATAATTCTCCTCCCTCTTACTTAAATAAATAAATAAATAAACAAACAAGCAAACACACACACCCCTCCCCGCCGCTCCAAACATCATCTCTCACATATCTAAAAAGATAGAATTAAAACTGGAACTCAAACTATTTTTAAACCATCCCTACGGCCTGGCCTGGTGATCCCACATCAAATATAGCTGATATTCAGTTTTAGCACTATTAATTCCTAATTAAATCTTACAGTGTAAGTGGTTGGAGATGTGCGGAAAAACCCCCAAACTTACAAATGGACTCAAACCAGCCCCTGAAATCCAAACACCCAGATATTTTGGAAGGTATATAAGGGAGTGAGTATGGATCCAGATCTGAACTTTGTGACTCAAGTCCATCTCTACGGTAAACTTATCTGCCCAATTGTTTCTAGGTGGACAATATATATGTAAAATAGGAAGGTTTCATGAAATAACCATTTCTTCAATTTTTAGGTACTTTGTAACATACGTTCTAAAAGGAATTAGCACAGAGCTAAAACTAGAGTACATAGTAAAGCTTGGTAGTTAACCCAACAGATTTACCTTAACTCCTTGCAAAAATATTCATGACATGGTTTTAAAATGTTACGTGAAAAACAGCCTGGAAAAAATATTTACTGCTATCAAGTCACTGCAGCATTAAAATATATTTAACAATCCAAACAACTGGCCCTGGAGAGACAGTTGCATACAACTGTGGCAAGCAATGGAACATTTATAGAATTTTAAATATTTCTTTCAATAATTGATGCAGTCATTTTGAATCTTTCTGCATAGGATATCAGATGTCAGTAGATTGCATTAACACTGCTTAAACATTTCAACTTGTCAGTATGGCCAACTCGATTTCTGAAATATTTGCAGTATTTTCCCATCGAAACAGTAATAAAGGTAAAATAAATATATGCCACTGCTTTATAATCACTGAACATTAATGAATATTTTATGTCTTTTTAAATCTCCCTGTTTAATTTAAAAGGGTGAAATTAAGTCTCCTTCCTGCAATATGCCAATTATCTGTAAATCAAACAATAACTTGGCCATTATACTCCTTTTTGCTAATATACAAGAAGCTAATTTGAAAACACTGAATGGCATTTTTAGATAATAATTGAATAGTCCTTCCTGCCCTCTTGTGGTAGACAATCGCAACTTGCGTAAAAGCATTTCAGCTACCACAAAAATATACCAAAAAGTACGTAAACTATTAATTTGTTGGTGTGTGAATGAGAAAAAAAAGTGGAAAAGAAATCTTCCAACAGTCTTGAGAGGAAAAAAAAAAAAAATCACTGATCCCCCAAAAAGAAAAAAAAAATACTACACAAGGCAACTAAGTTCATCAATTGCTTGCTACAATTCTCATATGCTAAAAGTATAAAAATAATTAATAATAATTAGAAAGTTAGCACCCAAAACAAGCCTCTGATTCTGCAATTCGATCAATGTGAGCAGACCTTTCCATGCATACAAATCCCTACTGATTGCAATGGGGCTCTGTACAGACTTAAAGTGACCATCCATTCAGATCCAATTGCAGGCTCTTCTGCAGGCTTCTTAAAGTAAGAAGGTCTAGAGTTATATTTTTCACTTTGACTTTAATGCATTTGGTTTTGCTCAGGAATTGCATGGATAATTTTATGCATCACATATGAAGCATTACCTAAAGTACAGAAGCATAGCATGAGACAAAGACACTTGTTGTCGTTTATATGAGAATCCTGAATTATAACATTCTTTTTTAAATGGAATTGCTGTTATGTTAGAAATAATCCTGTCATTATCAATAGACAAAACAACTTCAGTGAACATAAAAATATCCAATATCTCATAGTCACTATATCAGGTCTCTGGCTCCTTCTTCAGGCTCAATAAAAGCCACTGAAGAAATTATAACGTGTTAACATTTTGTGTAGACAGACAAAAATAATACAAGAAACAGCTAATATATAGGTGATTACCAACACCTAAAAAGCAGTTAATTTCATTAAGAAATTAAAATTAAAAAAGCACAAATCTAGAATCGTAAATTACCAACAGTCTTCAAATTAAGCAGTTTTTATTTATAGGAAGTCCAAAAGTTCATCCCCCCCAAGAAGTTGTGTTGCAACAGTGTGTTTGTGTAGTTATATTTAAAAGTAGTTAATTATATTAAAAATCCATTTTCAAAGGGGGAAAAATGTGCATGAGAGGGACGACATTTGTATGTTATGTTCCAGACAAGGGAATTTAAAATGACCCAACTAGAGATATCATGAAAAATAGTATTAATAATGATGGAAATGATGAAGGCCTCTTTACCGTAGGGATATGGGTTACTGCTCCTGTAATACTACAGAATTTAGATTATGCTCTCTAGGGTAGGAATTTATAAGAAAATGTATTAAATCTTACAAACTTGAATGGGAAAAAAACCTCAAACCAAACAAAAACGTATTTAAATTGGAAATCAAATATTTCCATCTTCAGAATTCCCACCAGGAAATATTAAGGGTTCATACATGTTCCTAGAATACACTTGCCAGATTCTTACAAATGGGTTGTGCGCTGGATGTCACATGAAGTGAGGTAGTTGGCAATAATGTTTTGCTGTAGAAGAGAATTAAGAAACCAGACAAGGGTTTCCAGTTCTAAAATTGAAAGGGCAAGATGCATAACAGAGACTACCTTTGTTTCGAGGGGACATAATTCCAGCACTGTTCTTTGCAACACCACCCCTTGCTGGCCATTCTGTGGAACAACAGGACATCAGTTATATAAAAAAACCCACTTCGCTCCCAACCTAGACAGAGTGAAGGAAACAGAACAGCCAGTTGTGCCAAAGGTGCTTTAAAAAAATGGGTGTGGGTGGGTGGCTGGCTGGGAGAGAGCAAGTTAAAAGGAAAGCAAGAGAGCAAGCGTCACTGGATTAAAAATAAAGCATACCTGGACTATAAGTAGCTTTCCTCCTCACACTTCAATAATTGCTTTCATAATAAACATTATTCATCTATTTTGCTATTAAAGTGTAAAGTGTGTTAGAAAATCTATTTCTTTTAAATATGTTGAAAATGAATACATTTCTTAAAACCTTTCTAGGTCTAGTTAGTTAGTTTATCTACAGTAATCTTTGAGGATCAAGTTAATTAAAACTAAAAAATGAATAATCAAACAAAGAAGTTTCCAACCAGAACATATAAGCCCTCTTTAACACAGTTGACATTAGCTATAATGAGCTACATTTATTCTTCAGCTGTGAGACAGAACTCACCTCCTGAATGGTACTGCTTCCTGAGAAGTTGAGGTTGTACTCCCGCTGGACTTCTCGATGGGTGATGATCAGCATGAAGTTTTGATTTAATGACTCCTGCAGGGCACTGAAATGGTTGGAAGAAAAACAAGAAAATCAGGGATGAGCATGTTCTAGCTTGCTTTACAGTTAGTTGCAAAAACCCCAGGAGTACCCTAAACTCCACATAGACAAGTCTAGGCACAATGTTATCATCTCTCTTTTTGTTCCTAAAGGCAAGAAAGCATACTGAGAATGACCAAAGGGAGCTAACCTGTTAACTCCTTCTCTACTAAGGTGTTTGCAACCTCAAAGGCTATGTTCTACTCTTACGAATTTTCAAAATTGAGAGTCATATGCTATTACCACAAACAGTATATTTAGCACATATATTTTTGAATTAATATTGGGCTGGCATGTATACGTAACTATATCCAGCCAAGACATCAAACTACAATGTACATTCACCACTGATTTTAAGTATACCAAGACAAATTTTGCTCTTCAGTAAGGCTGTAGTGTAAATCAGGCAAAATTTGTATGAATACACAATGAACAGACAGAAAAAAATAGCCAGTGTGAGATTTCTCAGTGTGAAGCACCAAGCATTAAAACAAATACCTGGCATATCATGTAATCAGTACTAACAATGTGCTCTACCAAACTTTTTAAATGTACCATAAAATACCTCCAAATTCTTAAGCAAAAAAAAAAAAAAAATCTTCACTGATATGTAGACTAAATAAACCACCACACAATAATTATTAACCATGTTATCACATAAACTGGATGTATTTAAAGCGCTTCTGTACTCTCCGGAGTTTCTATGGATTTGAAAAATATCCACTTTACTTAAAATGTGGAACAATGTGGGAATTGATAATTCTTTCAAAACAGAAGAAAATTTCTAAGTGAAACCACTATAGAAAACATCACAGCATACAGCGTATTAGATCCCAGTGCAATATTATGTTGGTTTGACCTCTTCTAAGAGCTTTGGAATGAAGCTGTGTTTATTTGCTTTTTTAATTTTGTCCTCCTGATAACAAGTGATTGAATTTAGAAAACAACTGACTGAAACAGACTAAATAATAAGAATAAAAAAAATCTTACTAATGCTTTTGTACTGCCATAACAAGTGATAATCACAGGAAATTTGGAACAGAATGGAAAGTATAGACATATTAAGCCTGCAACTTTTTTTTTTTTTTTGCTTTTGAGAGTGTTCTATGCCATTAGACCTTCATGTTTTGCCATGATCACATTTTATTTTTTCCTTTCAAAAAAAAAAAAAAAGTCTGCCTCTAAAATCCTCTCTCTTGAGAAGTATCAATCATTTCTGTTCTTCCAGCATGCTGAAAGATTAATACAAATATATATGTTTTTGAAACTAGTAATTCTTGATACAATGTTCTAATACTACCCACCCACCAATTTAGCTACAGGGATAGGAGCCAATCTCATAAATCTATTCATTCAAGTTGTCCTTACACATGCAAGTAGTTCTATTGACTACAATATTCCAGGCCACCGAACTTGCCTGTGTTGTGAGACGGACTCAGTTGTCCAGGCTCATGGGACCAACATCCTGGAGACTCACTGAGAATGTCAATGAGATTCCTTGCAAGCCACACCTAACATAAATCTATGTAATTGATTCTGACCATCTCAAATCAGCCATGGAAGAAATTTAAAGGCAATATGCAGCCCAAAGCAGTCCCTTCCCTGATGACCTCTGGAATGGCTCTGCCAGTGAGAAACTTTTGAAAACATAGCTAAGGTTGATAGATTTGATTTTGTTTCTGTCCAGGAGATAACAATGGGTTAGAAAAATCAGTATCTCCTGGTTAAAATAGTGTAGTGTTTCTTGTATCTTATTCTAGATAAAAACTATGGCCAATATTATAAAAATGGGTGCTGAAAGCTAGACGCCTAAATCCATATTTAGGCATCTAAATAAATGCCCTGATTTTCAAAGGTTTGAGCAGTTCCTCAGCACTTCTGAGAACCTGATAGATCCCACAGCTGACGGCTAGGTTCAATTTTGCCAGTATTTGGTATTTATTCTAGTTCAGTTCTACAAGATTTTATAAAATTCATTCAATGTTTCCCATTAGGCAAGATCTTTTTAAGGCATAAGGATTTTCCACCAAAAATATCTCAGAGTTTTAGATGGATAGATATGACACATGGTAATTAACATTTCCATTTTAAATTTTCAGATTTATACACGCTCATGTCAACAGAAGTCCAAATTTACTGTAATTACAGATTATTTACATTAACACAAAATAAGAAATCAGTATGTAAATTTAATGTTTGTTGTAGCTAATGCAGCAGGAGATGGCAGATTAGATTCAAGCAGCAATCAGTTAGAAAATCTGGCTAACATGTAAATGAGCAGAAGCCCTTATGTTTACATTCTATTGCGTTTTAAACGTCAGGATTTTAAAACTGTCTCATGAGCAGATGTGAAAATAAAACATTAATCTTACCATTATTATTGAAGCTTTTAAAGTAACTAAAGCAAGCTCTAGCTCCTATCCAGCTAAACAGACAATACTAATAATTGCAGTTGCAGATTACATCATTCTTAATTAACACTCTGCTACAGTTGTTAACATACACCAAGACACCATGTCACAATCACCACCACTCTGTAACAATCTTAAAATTGCAGTTGAAGAATTGGCCTATTACTCTGTGGGTACTTTTTATTTCCTATCCATACATGTGATTAAATTGCTCAGATAAATTAGAATTTATACTAGAGGAAATACAGCATTTACAACAATCTCTTGAAGAAACCAGAAATTTTTTTAAATTTCACATGGCTAAGCAGCTTTTATCTGTTGTGGTCCAGTAAGTTAAAAATGAAACATTACAAACCTTTAAGTAGTTCACAGAACACTTTGCTATAAAACACCAGACTTCTGTTCACTAGGGGGGCAACCTGCAGAATCCAGTCGGGGGGTGGGGGAAGAGGTGTTTCACAGAGATGGCCTGGCAGTGAATATGTGGGGGGAAGGGAAGAAGGACAGGATGCTTGGGGCCACATGAAGTCTTGTGAAACCCCTTCCATCGTGTTTGCCATTGCCTCCTTTCTGCCCTTTGGCCAGTTGGGATGCAGCATTTTAGGGAGCAGAGGAAGGAGGGCCAGGGTAAGAGAACGCACACAAAAAAACCCCAGAACTGGCAAAACAGGTGGCAGGGAATTTACTCCCCGGTGAATTAAAAGACAAACATCCTCCAACTTCCTCCCTTTTTATTTTTTCTACAGGTTTTGGATGGCTGAACGTGGTAGTCTATACCCACTAACATCATTCAAACAGGACATGTAGATTTAATTAGTTCTATTTGTATATAAAGATTTCATTTTTTAAAAGTTACCTTAATACATCAAATAAGACTAGGCAGGTTTTCAGAAAAGTTAACTGTAAGAGGTATTTTTTTTTGTTAAACGTTGATAACTATGTCTTTTAAAGATAATTAGGGTGTGCTGAATCCAAATATGGTTGTTACCAAGCCATATGTTGTGTATTAAGATCTCTAAAGAGCGAACAAAGCAACACCCAGAAATTGCTGAAGTGTAAAACTTTATTTCCTTTTATTTTAGGATTAACATACTTCAGTTGGATCTTTATTAGCAGTAGAATGTAACAAAAGTGATCAAATAATATGCACAACCTTTTTCTAAAGCTATTATATGTCAGTTTCTTACTTGCAAGAGGTACTACAAATATTTTAATGCGTTATGCAACCATGACAGAGCGTGTTTACAGGGCTCTTATAACTTGAGCATTAGCACCTTGAAACAAAAGTATATAGAGTGATTAAACTATCAGAAATTTAAAACGAGTGAAAATATTTTCTATACTAAACATTAACTAAATATTTTACTGCACACAAGTTAAGTACACGTTACTGTTGTACTATTTCAAGAAACTTTGGTATACAGTGGAAGACAACATCTTATTAGGTCACTTCTTATATGACACCATCCACTTATAGATATTGTCCTTAAGCACTAAGGGCAGGTCTACACTGTGGCTTAAGTTGATCTAACTTAAATCATGTTTCTAAATCCACAAATTCACAATCCTACCAGCTTCACAGGCAGTTTCTCCATGCAGCTGTCCAGTTGCACTTGTCCTAGGATCTTTGCATTCAAGAGCGTGTCTTGTATGGCTTCAGTAGCCAGATCTTTTGTTGTAATATCTTGCAATGAAGTGGGTGGTTCCTCCCCAGAGAAAACCTTAAACCTTTGAAGTGTTTGTATGAGTGCATCCTCATTTTCATTGTTGTTGCTTCCTTGCCTTTCTTGACTAATTGTGAATAAGTTGGTCACCCAAGCCAATATGGAACATGGCTCTAGTATCTGCTGAGATATGGGCTCTCAGATTGTAAAACAAGGCCCATCTGCTGAGGGCTGAGTGAGTCTTGGTGATGTCTACAATTCCACCTTCTTTCTTAAGCCACTCTTGGCTCTGATCAGGGTCTACTTGGCTGAATTTCTGACATGATCTCTTGACAACCAAGTTAGCCTGCTGAAACTCCTTGAGCACTTCAGCCGGCAGCTGATGCATTTCTTTGATGTAGATGGCACCCTACCTTGCATAGCTTGTGTGGTCATATCTCAGGAAGAATGGCAACATGCATTTGAAGGTGAAGAGATGCAGCTCCCAATTTGCCTCTCTCTGGGCACAGTTGAACATGAATAATAGGGCCACCATTTCCATATACTGTCACCAAAACCTGAAGTTCACAGTACTTTCACCTTTTCAGGTCAGAAATGTGGAGATGAAATTTTGAAATCTTTGTGAAGTACTAACTGACATGAGCTCACCATAAAAGAATGTGACTGATCGGTTTTGCCAACATCCTTTTTGAGCTCTTGATCATGCGTGGCTATAAAGTCCAAGAGTTGTGGACGAATCAGGTACCACAGTGCTCACAATGTCAGTTGTGAGCCCCACATTGCCCTGGCACATGACTTGCCATTCATAGTTTGTTTTACTGTGTTCCATCCAAGCATCTGCTAGTCCTGAAGACTGAGTGTGATGGCCTATAAGTTTTTGAAAGTTCACT